GTATTGCCCTTTTCCAATACGCAAAAGAAAAGATGAAAATTCTTCAAGCTCTTGAGCTGATTCGACACTATCTACCAATTGGGCTTGTTGAACACGCATATTTATAGACAGTCGTAACTGTTTTATGTGCCTAAAAAGATGAGACGTAATCATACATGCTTGAATTATATCATCTTTGGTACCCTTTGGAACGACAGGCAAGACTTGTCGAAAATCCCCACCAAAAACAATCAATTTTCCACCAAAAGGAACCCTGCCGAGACGTTCATCTTGATGTCTCATGATGTCTCTAAAACTTCTATCGACAGTTTCTAAAACATCACGACTAATCATGGAAGCTTCATCCCATACAATTAAAGACGATGAAGCTATCAATGCGGCGTTGTTACTTCTTGGTTTTAAAAAACACATGGATGCTTGATCACAATGTAACGGAATCCCAAATCTTGAGTGAGCAGTACGACCCCCTTTCAAAAGTAGTGAAGCTGTTCCACTCACAGCCACAGAAAGAGCGATGCAATTTGTTCTTCTAACACCCTGTAATAAAGCATTGAAAACAAATGTTTTTCCGGTGCCGCCAGGACCATCCAAAAAACACAGGTTATCTTTAAAATGAAAACGTGCGTTGTGTTGCACCTTTTCACCATTGAACAATTCCATGATACCCTGAAAAACAGCACGTTGATCAGTATTAAAAGGCAGTTCAGCAGGGTCTATCATTGACCTTTCAGCCTCCAAACATAATTCACGCTGTTCACGTTCAAGCCTGGACATGCCGTCAAAACCAAAATTTCTACCTGTATTTCGGGTATCAATGGAAGGTAGAATGAATCCAGCAAAATCATCAAGGTTGATATTATATGCATCTAAAATTTCATTTAAATCCCAGAGACAATTACCATATGCTTCTTCTTTCATTTCATCAGTTAAAATGGAATTATCATCGGTCAAAAGTCTTTTCTGTGCTAACAGATAATCGTAGGCCAGGTTGTCCTTATGCGTGATCCATAGCTGAAAAGGGCTTGATGGATTACAAAAAACTAATATGGTGACAAATAGCCGTCTTAACATGAATGGTGATTGAAACGTATCACTCTCCAGTAGACATGTGTCCCATTGTTCGTCATCCGCAAGTAATCCCTTGGCACGGGCAGCTGCTTGATATGTCTCATATAATACTCCTTCTACAGTACGCATATCTTCAAAGCTTTTTGCTCCACGGACATAATTTAGCAGTAGTCTTAAATAATATTTTTCTGATTCTTTTGGTGAAACAGAATATATACGACCTATCGTTTGATTAAAGCCCCTCTGCCTTGTTCTCCATATAGTTTCCTTTTTTTGCCAAGTGTAATATTCAGGAAATTCATGATATAAATATTGGTTGGCATTTGGATCTGTTCTATTTATGATGAACCAAGCGGTAAGGGTGGTATTTTTACTTGCTGAATTTGCAAGAACATCGCTCAAATTAGCTCCTTCAGCAAAATATACTGTTTCTTGCCCAGGGAGATGGATACTCAATCTTTGGTGAGAAGGAAACTCTTTATGCAAAGAAAATCCAAATATTCTCCATGAAGCCTCAGGTGCAGAAACATATCGTGCATCGATGAAGTGATTGATTTCATCATGTGACACTGTACTGGCGCTGGCTTGTTGGTCATTACTACTGATTTGAACACTTGCTCTATCGTGACCTTTAAATACATATTTATAGAGGTACTTAACAGCGGAGACAGTGTTACATATTTCAACATTGATATGTGCATCATACTTTGTACAGAGAAAAATGTTGTGTGGAACAACCCAAATGTTATCTAAAGCAACACCGTTTGCTTTCGTGACACTTCGTCCATCTCGTCTTCTTCTATAAATTGGATAGCCAGATTCAGCTGTTGTTGTAATAGGTACAAATTTTTTTGGGTAGCCCTTTGAACATTTTCCATCTTTCATGCAAATAGCTCTGGGATTAAGAGAACCGCAAGGACCGTGCATCATATTTTTTGTGACAGTGGCGTACGCCATTGGAAATGATTCTTGATTAGGTATCTCGGCCGAAATGATTTTGTCGAAGTCAGTTGTAGTTCTTGGTTTATGTTCGGGTTTCACAATAAATAGCATATGGGCATGAGGTAACCCTCTCTTTTGAAATTCTACAACTGCAACGTAACCAACAACAACACCTAAAATATGGTCTTTGGTTATGTCCTTCATAAGGCTTTTAAACTTCAAATGAAAAACCCTGGAACAAAGATCGGGTCTATCAGCTGCAGTTTGACCATACAACAGTTCATTTTGAATTTCTGGCCATGCTGGGTTGCAAGTAAATGTTATAAAATAGTCAGGTTTTCCAAAACGTCTAACTATACTTATAGCATCTTGATACAATTGGGACATGTGTCGTGGACCTCCAATAAATGAGCTTGGAAGAATTATTTTGCGACCAAGAGAAGTTGTATCGTTATCATCGTGGGCAACAGCATCTTGCAGTCCACGGTATAATTCAGTACGTAAACTGGATTGATTGTGTCTTATATAATTTAAACGAAATTGCTCAATTTTTGCGTACATGTCAACAATAAATTGATGAAAAAGTTTTCCGAAAAGATGAAGATCATGGCCGCAGTTTCTAAACATAAAGTGATAACTATAAAATTGCATCGGTGTAACCTTTAAACCACTATCAGAAGTACACAATGTATGCCATCCAGGTTGGCCAGTAGGAAAAAGTAAAGCATATGACATTGGATCAAATGTCTGATTTAACTCATTGATTCTTTTAAGCTGACCCTGGCTTTGTGGCCTGATTATTATATCTCTAACTCTGATCTCATCCCCATCTTGTCTACTACCACTTCCCAAAATCAAGATACCAACTTCCGTGGAGGTTGTTGGTGAATTATATCGTCTTGGATCTGGTAATCCTTCGGCTCTAAATACCATTGATACGTCTGCAACATGATTGGGGTTTTCAATTAAGTATTGATTCATCGTTTTAAAATCTCTCACAATGGGATTAATATCATGCATCAAAAATTGTAACTCTCCCAACGTGTTAATGTCGACGTGACTTGCAACACGGTGTCTATTGTTTATTTCGTTTTCGGCATCGTAAACATAAATTTGTGCAAAAGATGGAGCTGCATTATCGGCTGGGAGTAACGATCCGATGCGGTGATATATACTTCCATGAATTCGAAAGGCGTAAGCACCACCGCGAGAGTTTTGAACTGATTCATCCAAATTGACACCCATCGAAGCAAAACTTAAAGCATTGTTGTAAGCTCGAATATTGGTCTTGAATTCTTTACTTCTTTGATCACTGTTTCTAAATAAATTGGATATGAGTCCAGGTGTTGATTGTAATGGTGTTACTCTGTATTTGCCTGATCCACAGCAGAGTTGAAATTGGGCCGTATTTACGCCGCCATCGGATCGTTCTTGAACCCACATATATGCATGGCAATATGAACACACGGTAGACATTCCACCCAAGTTGTGTCGATCAGGTAGTGTGTCAGTTTGTTTCGCTTGATTTAAAGTTGATGTCGAGCTCGTGTTGTTCATCGGACACAATGCACTTGACCTTCTGGAATGTCCAAGCTGTAGGCACGTTGAGCAGCGGTCAGAGTTTTGTTCACGTTCTTCACTTTCGATATCCTATGTTGTAAAAGTTTTAGCTGTAGTTCTTTAATATTTTACTCGTCATTGAACTCGCTTGTAAAAGTTGAAGCTTAATTAAATGCTTACACTAAGTGGTACGTCCTGAAAATAACGAAAAAAAGTTAGTCAAGATCAAAGGTTTTTTTTAAGTGCCATGCTTACATTCTCATTTTGGTTTGCGCGATTAAGTGGGCAATCACGATGTGTTCGTCGACTATGTCCTTGCTGTCCACATGAGGCACAGTTTCTACTATTGTTTGACATGTTCAATTGTGGTATATGAAAAAATAAAGAGGAACTCTTTAATGTTTAAAATTTGAAAGTTTATATCAACCGCCGTATTCTTGGGGGGAGGGGTTCCCCCTCCCCCCAAACCCCCCTCCCCTCTGGCGGGGGAAACCCCCGCACCCCCAATTTCATATCACTACTCAATAATATTACGCTTTTAAGAAAAATCACGCTTTAAAAAAAAAATTCAGCTGCAAAAAAAAAAAAAAAAAAATTAGCTGTGTTCATTAGCTGTAGAAAAAAAAATACTGTTTTATAAGATATAAACTCTTTCATGCTAATGCTATGGGCCGTGTTCTTGGGGGAAGGGGTTCCCCCTCCCCCCAAACCCCCCTCCCCTCTTGCGGGGGAAACCCCCGCACCCCCAATTTTTTTTTATCACTGCTTAAAAATTATACTGCTAAAAAAAAAAAAAAATACTGTTTTATAAGATATAAACTCTTTCATGCTAATGCTATGGGCCGTGTTCTTGGGGGGAGGGGGAACCCCTCCCCCCAAACCCCCCTCCCCTCTGGCGGGGGAAACCCCCGCACCCCCAATTTTTTTTATCACTGCTTAAAAATTACACTGTTAAAAAAAAAAAAAAATACTGTTTTATAAGATATAAACTCTTTCATGCTAATGCTATGGGCCGTGTTCTTGGGGGGAGGGGTTCCCCCTCCCCCCAAACCCCCCTCCCCTCTGGCGGGGGAAACCCCCGCACCCCCAATTTTTTTATCACTGCTTAAAAATTACACTGTTAAAAAAAAAAAAAATACTGTTTTATAAGATATAAACTCTTTCATGCTAATGCTATGGGCCGTGTTCTTGGGGGGAGGGGGAACCCCTCCCCCCAAACCCCCCTCCCCTCTTGCGGGGGAAACCCCCGCACCCCCCTCAAAACATTTCTACAGGTAGTGACTGTTTTTTACAATTCCTAATTCCTATTATTTTTATATATTAATTCTCAATTGGTGAATCGAATCCAGAAAGGAAGCTTTTGTTTTTAAATAAAGACGCGATTTGGGGGGCCACTTCCAATTGTAAAAACGTTCTTCTTGGTACAAAAGTCAAATTCTTCTCCTCAAATCGAGAGGTACTACAGCTAGGACACTCAGTTTCATTATCATTGCTGTAAACATGGCAAGTTTCCGGGCAGATGTCAGTAGCAAAAGGCCTGAATGGTGACTCTTTCTTGAACAAAGTCTGGTACTTACAATGCGAAAGAAGTTAGGAATCATCTTTAATTAAACAAATTTTCAGTATCCCAAAATCGATAACAATATGAGAAACGTTTACCTTCTTTTTTATACTTATTATACCATTTTACTATATCATTTATAGTTGATTGCGTTACGTTATGCTTCATGAAAATGGTATGGATTTCTTCGTTCTTTTTATGCATAATTTCAAAGTCATCATTATCCGATTCGGGGATAATATATACTTTATGGAAGTTATCATCATTTGGAACTTCGAAATCCATATCATTGTTATCATCATAGAAAGGGCTGCCAAAATCAGTCTTTCCCTCATCAACATCGTCATTCACGACAACATCATCCCTCACGTCAACATCCGATTGAAGGTACAAATTACTTGAATTTGATTGGTTTACTTTTTGACGTTTGTAACCAAACTCTGTTTCGGGAAAATCCGTTACGGTGCTTGTCATGTCATTTATCGCCCTTTCGGACTCATGGAGTCTCATAAGGCTGTTGCGATTTCTGCCGGTGATAATGTTTTTACAATCGGGGCATTCAAAAGACATGGTAGGTTAAAGAGTAAAGCTGAAACAAAACATCATGTTGAACTAAATTAAATTATTATCGTCAAAATATTTAAAGTCACTATTTGTAAACAAAGCACCAACAGATACGGCACTTTTTTAAAAATATTTTTTTATTTTCTTACAAAGTAGAAAACATGCCTCCTAAAACGAACAAATTCGAGTCATCAACCTCAGACTTGTTAAAGCAGATTTTAAAAAAACTAGACATTCAGGATGAGATTTGCAAAAAGCTAGAATTACAAGAGGAACTTACAAAAAAATGGTGAGGAGATTACTAGTTTGAAAGCAGTAATCAAACAGTACCGCATTCAGGCAAACGATTCTCATAATCAAGAAACCATTTCAGCAGCAAGCGACCCCCGCACTGTTCCTATGCCAACAGTATTCAAGGATGGCAATGATATCAAGAAAAAAATCACCAAGGCAGATATTATCAACGCGATCACGATCCTGAATAATGATGGCTCAATTGACCCCGCTAATATTTACGCGAACATACGAAGTGGGGCTTATTTCAGGGTCAAATACGCGATTGATATCACATATCAACAGAAGTCTCCTGTTTGGTCCGATTTGCCTGCCAGCGTAATTCAAAGGATTATAACATCATTGAATAAACGAGCTGCTGAAATGGGTATTGACTTGTCTCGTTGTGAGGGTAACTGGGTATCTTTATACCTTATCAAACGCTCCTATCAAAACAAAAAGACGTACAAAAAAGTGACAAGGTCGCTAATAGCAACGAGTACTTGAGTCTTGATGAGGTGCTTCTTGAAGGAGAAAATAGCCAGGAATTGGATATAGATGAATCCACTACTACCGAGGTAAACTCACGCGAATACTTCATTTATTTAATGCTAACCGAATACAATTCTGATTTAGAAGAGAAGAAGGCATCATAGCCACAAAAAAGGCGACAGAAACAGCAAAAAGAAAAGAGAAGAGAAGCAAAGAAAAACTAACAAAGGTAATGCATATGTAAACTAAATACAATTTACTAAAGAAATTACTTCTTCAGATTAGTTATTGGCACCAAATCCAGTTAATATTATCGTTTAGTTTATTCTCTTTTTATATTTTAAATAAACATTTATAACATACCATTCTTTACTGAAATAATGAAAACTTATTTTGAATGATTATTATTGAAAGCCTATAATATACACGTGTTTTGTATAGTGCTAAGCTAAGTGCTTTATCCAATCAGATTTGGTATCCGTCAGATGTTAGGTACTGAATGACATTAATTGTATAAAGAAAAAACACTGAATGGATTGAATGGAGACATCTAAATACACATAATTTTGCATGATGGCCGTCACTGAAAACCTTTAATTTTCAGTGACTTTTCTGCACTGAATGCACTGAATCTGAACGTATTTCAGATACCTAGAATTGAGTTAATTTTCAGAGTAGGTTCAGTGTTTTTTTATTTACTGTGAATAGCTACCGGTTCATCATCGTCGAGACCGAACACAGTAGCAGTAGAATTAGAGGCAGCGCTTCGCAATACACCAGGAAGACAATCAATATATAGAGAGTATAAATGAGGACTAAGCACAGCGCCTTCCAGAAAACCAGTGATGGGAGTGAATGGATCTGATATATGATTGGTCAGCAATACAGAGATAGAAAAATCATCAAACATATGGATGAGCAGATTCAGCAGAGGAACAGAAAAAGAGGATTTTAAAGCAAGAATATTCCAGACTACCCGACGATCCACCCTATTGTAAGCTTGTTTAATATCCAGAAAGGCAACAGAAGTAAAATGATAATGCTTGTTAAAGTAATCATGCATAAAGTCATGCAGACAAAAAGCTTGGTCAAGAGGACTACGCTGTTTACGAAAACTATCTTGGGCATGATCAAGAGCGGAAGATAGTTCTATAACATGTGAGACTATAGTCATTTCTGTGGTGATCTGCTATATTGTTGCTACATTAAATAAATCCATATCTATGACAACAATACATTAAGAATGATTAAGGAATCAATTACCCAATTTAGATAGTTAGTACTATCATATCACAAGGTTACAAGAACCCAGTGACTAAGGCTTGCTAAAAATATGGAAGTACAATGTCTCTAAGAGGACAGTAATTCCAAGTGTAACATATTTACAAAATAAGCAGTTAAACGTAAGAGGATACACACTGGGAAAATGATAACAACTTCAAAGATACACAAAAGATAGTGGTACAGCAGATAGTCTTTTTTATATAAATACTTGTTCATTTCATTTCATAATCAAGACAATCTTATAAACAGTCTCAAATTATTCATAAACTGCCTTATAATTTCAATTACTTCTAAAACACAGCAATTTCAAATAATTTTAGAGAAACAGAAGTGAGTGAAATGGGTCTATAGTTAGCGGGGTCAGTACGTTCACCTTTTTTTGTAAATTGTAAACACAGTAGCCTGACGCCATAAAGACGGTGTATTAGACCACTGGTAACAAAGAGTAAAGTAAAGCTTAGAGAAAGGAGCAAGAATGTCAATCACATGCTTGAGCATTTCGGCTTTGATATGATCAGGACCAGGAGCTTTGTTGTTGGGTAGTTTTTTTATACGCCACGAAATAACATCATCATCCAAAAAAGGAGTGTTGTCAAGAGAGTGAGGTAAAAAATGATGTAAATGAACGGATGGTGGCGGAGAGAAGGAGCAGGGAGAGAGGAACCACTATACATGGAAGATAAACGGGTGGACATAATTTCAACAGCCTTCATGGGACCATCAGTATGCGTGAATGAAGGGGTGTGAGTGTTTCGGGCTTTAATTCGAAAAATCGTTTTTGTGGCTTTTGGAAAGTTTGTCTCCAAACTTTTTTTAAATTCGTTCCACGATTCTCTTTTGATTCTCAGAATTTTTTACAAAAATGTTTGTTAGCTTCATCATGTTGATTCCACCAATGTACCTTCGCCATCAAAAACATCAGAGTATTTATCGACAGAAGTTGTTAAACGGTCAGCCAATATATCTTTCTTGTAGGCAGAGACACCAAATTTCTTCACCATTGACGAAGATCTACCGATTTGATTTTTGTTGAAATTGTTCCCGCTGAAAACCTCAAATCCTTTTACATACATCAAATAAGCCTTTCCAGTTTTCTTTGTCAGAAATTGATTGACCAACAACAAAAGGTTGTGTTGTGTTTTAAGGTAAAGTAAAATTATAAAAAGACCATAGGAGTAGTTTGAGACTGTTTATAAGATGTCCTTTATTAATAAATGAAATGTACGAGTATTTATATAAAAGACTGTCTGCTGTGTTCATATCTCTAGTGCTATCTTAAAGTTATCATTGATTGACCAAAAACGTATACGATTATTACATAGTCACTAATTTGGTCTTGCTCTAATAAATGATAAGTCTTCTTAACTCTATTTGCTTTAAACTAAATTTTAAACATTTCTCAGACGTACTAAATAATCCTTATGATGTAATATCCTTATAGTTCATACTATGACATTTATTGTTAAGCTTATATCACAAATGGTATCAGCATGAATGTACATACGTTTGTTAGCTCTAATATGGCTATAGCCTTGCTAGGTCATCACTGATCTGTCAGCTCTTTAAATCCTTTGTCATAATCCACATAAGCTGTGACTAACTTTTGTCATTGCTTATTCTTTTTATTTTATTTCTTGTTTTCTTTCGCTATAAATATAGTCAATAAGTTTCACCTCTCCCGGGTTTCTTTATCAGATATATTGCATAATCATCTTCTCTTTTCTTTTCATTTATTCTTAAATAAATAATTTTCTTTTAAAAAGTTATTCATTGTATGTCTTGTCCTGCCTGTCTCGTTCGTCCCTCTTTCCTGACATCATATCTGATCAAAATAATTGTTTCAAATACCTTCTTGCCCTGTTCTCTTCTGGTTACTTATCTCCTGAAGAATTTCGTCAAACCTCACTTTAATCGTTGTAAACCTTTGTAATCGTGACCAATCTTACTGACGAACAGATTCAAGCCATAAATAATATGATCCAACGCCAAAATGAGATTTTGGAAATCAATTGTACTCTCGAACAGCGCCTTGTTTCTATGGATCAACAATATCGCCAACAACTTACCGAACTTGATACAAAATTTTACGAATATATTGCTACAAACTTAGTATTAAAGTCCGATTATCCGCAGCCTCAAATGCATCAAACCAACAACGTAACTTTACGCCTTAAACCACCTATGCCATTCAGTGGAAAGTCCAGCAACTGTGATTCCTTTTTCATTTCTCTCTGACTTATTTTTGCTGGAGATGAAATTCGTTTCGACATCGACCGTAAAATATTCTTTACGCAATCAACTGTTTGACAGGTCATGCATTTAGTTTTAGAGAGTCTTACCTAATGGATAACGACAACGTTGACTCCCCAGATGAAATATTAACTAACTAACCTAACTTTAAACATGTCATGCGTTCCACCTTTGGTGATATTAACCCTAATGTAAATGCAGAGTCTGGTCTTTCTGCCTTGAAGCAAAGTGGTGCCGCCGCCATTTACGCAACTGAATGTAGACGTATACCAATGCAACTCAGCTGGAACAACGAGGTCTTGATCTCCCAATATCTAATCAACCTAAAAGACAACATCAAGGACGACGTCCCCCGTAGAGAACCCATCACTTACTTAAACACCTTACTTAATGCATTCATTGACATTGATAACCGCTTATTCCAACGCCAAAAACAGAAAAATTAGGACAGCAGCAACTATCACAACAAACCAGCCACCAACTACTCTCGCCCCGATTCCAATGTAATCTTAAAGTCCACCCTAATGGAAGTTAGTAATACCAACGAAAGTAGACCTAGTAAGTATTGTCCCTTGACGCAAAATGAGAAAGACAGCCGCGTAAAATACGAACTTTGTATTTATTGTGCTGGTGATGAACACTTCACCAACTCATGCCCTGTCAAGCCACATCGTAATAATCACCCTACGATTTGCACTATTCTTGTCGACAATAGCAATTAGCCCATGTCATTCAACTCTATCACTGCCGCCCAAAACATTAACCACATCGAGAACACAATGAAACGTAAGCCTAACAATCAACTTATGCAACTTTATAAAGAATCACTAAATCATTAGTGAGCCAAAATTAATAGGTGTATTGCAGACCATATTTTGTATGTTGCCGAAAGTTTAGACTAAAATTTATTTGTAATTCCTATAACTAAAGAACTTTATGATATTATTTTTACTACCATCGCCTCCACATCATTGCTGTATTTAGTTTCTTTTTTCTAATACAAATTATCAAAGCGTATCAAGTGAACGTTTGTTTTATAAAAATTTCCCAAAACCTTCGGCCGATCCAGATTAACCCTCACTGGAGACTTTTTTTTTGAATTCTTAGAAACTATGTTTTGTATATTTGGCACAACAATTACATATTGTTATATTTGATGTCGGACAAGTACTTGTTCGGTACATTTGAATGTTTGACGACTTAAATCATTTATGCTGAAAGCAGTGCATTCCGAATATAAAGATCCCGATCAAGAGACATTTTTTCCCAACGAGGTACGGGAGTTAAAACATGTTACTAATTACTCAGGCATGGAAAGACATATATTGGCGTATAAGAAAACTAAAAACAAGTGTCACTCTAAAATAATTTAACGCGTATAGTTGGGTTTGAAAAGAGTCTACCGGACTTGACTAATTTAATTTAGTTTTCCCTGGGAGGTATTTGAATGATACATGTGCACGCATATTTTTGGCGTATGAAAAAAATAATCATCTTTAAATCTTTCATACGAATTGTCCCATCGACTTAATCTGGTTTCTAGCTGTAATAAATTAATAATGAGAATGAAATTATACCAAATAGTAATAATATCTAATTCCTAGTTATGGTTATACGAAGCACCCTTCTTAAGATCATCTTTTTAGAAACCAGATTATAAAGTTTAAAATAAAAAAGATTATTAAAAAAACAAAGCCAAATGCATTCACAAAACAAATTAAAAAGATTAACATAGGCCAATCATCCGGCCTATATTGTATTTCTTTCAAGTACTGTTTGCAGAACGAAGACTGACACTCAGACAATGAATAAATCATTAAGACTGCTTTTGCCGGCCAATCTTTTTTAATCTTAATGATTGTCTAGGCCGCGAGTGTCATAAGTGTCACAGTCGCGGACTATGTGGTAAAAACCCACAACATGTGGTAAAAACCCGCAACATTTGGTGGCAAAAACGTCCATTTTATACCACCGAATGTTGCGGAATCGTAGTTCATTGACCACCGGAGGTGGTAAAACTCCAAAATTATACTACCTAATGTTGCGGGTTTTTGCTACATGCTGCCAGTTTATACCACCAAATGTTACGAGTTTTTTCCGCATGATCCGTGTTTATACCACTTAATGTTGCGGTTTTTTTCGCATGTTGCGTAACTATACCACTTCTGGTAGTTACTAAAATCCACCTGTTGCGTCTTTTTACCACAATATAGCGTCCTTTTAGTCAAAACGTATTACATCACTTTTAATTACAATACTACTGATGCTGATCGACCTTATACATTTGTGCAATCAAAAAATAAATTATATAATAAAGAAGCTGGATTTAAATGAAAACGTTTTTATTTTATTCAATGTTTATTTTGTATTTTACTTTAAAAATAATTTATGTACATATCAGCTACAGTTTGAAAGGGCACACTTACATTCATAATATCCTTTGCACTTACTATTGACGGGCCCAGTTGATATAACACTAACCAAACATCCACCCATGTATACAGAAAACATTCGCGAGCCCCCGAGAGATGTAGCAGCATATTGACATAAACAGTTTTATCAGCCTAAACGAAAAAAAATTGCAGCCTAAAAAAAATTTATAGCCTAAAAGCAAAATTTTACAGCCTAAAAATTTTTTTTTTACGGCCCAAGAGAAGAATTTTATATCAAAAAACTTTACTACCTCAATCCGCCGTTATAGCCCAGAGACTAATCTGTACAATCTATTATTATACAATTTATTAGAGAATACATATTGGATATTCAGATGACTATTACCTTCGGCATATGGCGGATATGTACACATAAATCTTAGGCAATTTAAAATATACAGAAATAAACAATATTGGTGTTTTGTAACCTACATTTATTTACGGTATATATTTTAGTATTGTCTACTACTACATGAAGAACAGTACTAACAAAATAAAAAAATTTTGGCTACAAAAAAAAAGAATACAACGTAAAAAATCCGTATAAAGCTCTTTGTCACCTCACCCACCTATATTAAAAAAAAATTTATCATTTTCATCTCCGTCTTGGGCTAACTTTACGTACCTCAATTTTGTGTACTGCCTAAATGTACGTAAAACACGAAATAAAACACAAATTAACAATCGAAAAATTAAGTAGTCACAAAGATATTTCTTTTACTTGCCCGGGCACACTTTGAGGCTTAATCTTTATCTTTTATTTCTCATGTCTACCATCGCTATTGCTCGCAATCCCCCTTACGATCTTCTTCTTTTAGAGAAAGATAGACGTAGAGAAGAAGAACTTAACCTTCTTACTAGATTCAGCAGATTTGATCAGACAATTACTTTGGACGATATCAAGGCTGCTTTAGGTAAACGCCACGACGAAGGCCTCCCCGTACCTGATCGTCCCCGTGCCATCAACAGGTTCAACTTCTTCTGCCAACAGGAAAAGGAGAAGTCTATTGAAAAAGAAACTCTTGTCCAACTTGCTTCTTTTGACGAAGATACTGGTATTGGTGAAATTGCGGGTGAGCAAACCGTTGCCAGTGGTTTGACAACTCAAATTTTGGCAGCAAAGTACCGAAATTTGACGGAAATCGAAGCTGAGACGCTTGACGCCAAGGTTGTGTCGTTGAGCATCATCAGGAGAATGGAATCTCGTGTGAATTCAGGGTTGACAGTAACGTGCCTCCAGTTTTAAATAGCGATTTTTTGGATTTTGTTTCAAATTTTTTTTTCGAAATCGAAATGGTGGCAAGTGTTTTTTTTTTTTTTTGTAGAATCCCTAAGCTAGACATACATCTGAATGTTCATTCTTAATGGTTTTGACTCATTGTTACCATGCTCATTGTGCAATTTTTTTTTATTAAGTCAATAAACCAGTATCAAGTCTAACTTTTCTGTGAGATAAATAAGACTTGCTGACAAATTTTTTTACTGCCTGCACGACTTCTCTACCGTCACTACAGTTACTATATGCTTCAATGTAGTTCATAGACCTTTGAAACAATCTTTTTATATGAACTACATTGGAAGCTTTATCCAAATAGCTTGATAAGTTGTCATCAAGAGACTTGAATGTGTAATCACATCTCAAACGTGCCTCCCTTTTGGCGGAACCCCAGTACATTTCTATCCAGTTGCATTCACAATGATATTTTGGATATGACTCAAAAATGTGACCTGAGTCAATAACGGCTTGCTGCAAAGCCGACTTTTGCGCCACAAACTCGGGTCTACTTTCAAGAAAGTGACGAGCACAACACATTGATCTGTGGCTTGGCTCCTTCGACTTACATAGCATTTTCGAAGCCTTGCGTTCCAGATCACGACCAAGCCATTGGCCTCTTTCCTCCAAAATCTTTCGAATACCTTTGAAGTATCGTGTCTCCTTTGTCTTCACGACATACCCCAGTCTGTTGGTGACACTGGTCTTCTTGGTGTAAAAGAAAGACTGCTCCAAGCGGGTGCCATCCGTTAAAATTACAGCCGTGTCTTTGAACTGATACTTTTCGTTATCTTTGTATGGCTTCTCATTAAGTGTCATACGACTTCCAACAAGAGCATCATCACCGAATGCCTTGTAATTGGAACTGTTGTCAAAGAGGAAAACAAGCTTGACAACCAGGCTGGAGTAGCTCAAACAAAGGGATTGCATCGTCTTGAAGCTGCTCCAACATGTCAGTGTACTTCCAGTACCCTTCTCTGCCCACACCCGCTTTGAAAAATCTTCTAGAAGTCCAACCAGCACTCTTCATGGTTCCATGGCAAGGGCATTGAAATTCACTGACCATTATTGACGATCCTGGGCCCTTCTTTCTGATATGGTTCTCACCTTCTAACAACCACAGATCATCCTTACCATCATTTGCATAAAATGTGGATTCATCGTGCGTAACAAACACAATTTGTTTTATACCTTCATCCAGAACTGGCTCAAGAATCTCCTCCTCATTGTCACAGCATAAAATTCTGATCTTTTCATGTATTCGACCATTCTTTTAGACCATTCATCTCGGTAATTGACCACATCTTCTCTTTCATGGCCATCGAAAAAAATAGTCTTTTTATTTTTTCGGTATGAATATCCCTATTCGTAGAAATAACGGGAAATTGTTGTCATACTTAAGTCACTTTCAGCCACACCAAGAACAGAAGGAATGATTTGCTCGTCGATAATCTTTTTGATGACAATCAAGGAACGAAGAGCTGGTTTCATCTTTCGAATTTCTTCCAAAACGGCCATCTTTACATCCGAGTCACTTAAAAGTCATACTCTCTTAACATGGGCGCCTTGCGAGTGGTCAGAAAGCTTACCCTCGTCAATGAACTCCTTTGTCCACTTGACAATGGTCATCCCACGGTATTCCTTTGAATTTTGGGGCCAGAATTTTTCGGCTGCTTCTTCTGAAGCCAATCCTTTCTTTTTTCCACCCAAACGATTCAATCCATATTCGTACACAGATAAATACCTAGCATTGTTGTATGATGCACGAGCATTATCGTCGTTCTTCTTACTCATTACGGGTAAAATAAGAGCCTTGACAGCAGGCATAATTTTTTTGATGTCTTCGATTTCTTTTTCCGTGTGAGGAATGAACTTTGTTAATTGCTGAGTTTCTACACTTTTTGCAACAATAAATCCAAAACGTTGAAGAGTCTGGGCTGGATCTAGCTTTGCAGCCTCGACATTCTTTCTCCATTTTGTTGTTCTGGATGTACCAGTGTACGTAAGTGGTCTTTTACTTATTTCTGTATTGCTATCTGAAATAATATCAAGAGAACTCGCCTCAGCTCTTACAACCTCGGCTTGCTCGACTAGTTGATCATGATTTAATTCAATGTTTTCCCATTCAGCGAGTACCACTTCGGCAGATTGAATGCATCCATCTTCTCTTCTAAGTCTGTTTCTAATAGCCTTTTGTTTTTTGTTAGGTCTGGGCATGTTATGATAGAAAAATTGCAAAAAGGATAAAAAGGAGCATTTAACATTCGTCAGACGCGTAAGATTGTCCCCGTTTGATTTTAGGAGGCGACAATGAAAAGACTCTCAGCATTTATTTTTATATAAAGTAATAAAGGTACCTTAAGACATGATTGTATACAGTTTTAGCTACCTAAATTTATATCTAAACAATTTGTAGAGGATTTATTTAAAAAACCTTAAAACTTTAAAAATATGTCAAGTCGGCTCACCCAAAAAGGAATATGTATCAGGGGTAATATTACATGCGCGACACAGTGGTGTAACGACCGAAAATGAAAGAAGTCGTAAATACTTTACTTTTTTCTTATAAGTTAAAAAAAGCAATCATAAGACATTCTTGTACATAGTTTTCTTTTTTGTTTTATGCAACTAAATATTTCATAGAATTTATTTTTGGAAAACCTTCAGCATTTACAAGATCTGCCATGTTAGGGATTCCAGTGGGACTGGGTTTTTTTGGGGGAAAAAATTTATGACAAATTTCTCAGTAGGAATAAGGCCATTCTATTGGCTGACATTTACATGAACGGAGAATGAACTTAATGGGGTGTGCATAGTAGTGTTTCAAATCTCCAACCCCACTTATACGCCCCCGCTTAATTTTTTGAAAAGCGACCAACTTTGATGCCCTACAACTTTTTTTTTTTTGCAGTAAAAGTATTTTTTTATTCATAAGATATTGTTGATAAAGACTCTTAAAATAATATCTTTTGATTCGCATTGGTATATCGGTTGATTTGGGAAAGTTTTAGGCAATTAAAAAATACAAAAAAAAATCGCTATTTAAAACTGGAGGCACGTTACGTGAAAGTTTGGCAATCTTTAGGATATACATCGATACCTTAAACTCGTTGTATGGATATAAAGTTGCCTGTGTTTTTGGTCGAGCAAAATCATGGAGAATCCTTTCTGTTGGAGGTTAGGTTTATAATAACTTTTTATTTTGGAAAACATTAAGCTTTTATTATCTAGAGAACGTGGGGTCCATGGACTTGAAACGATGGAAAAAAGAAGCTTATCTGCATGTGAACCCTAAACCCTTTGAAAAAGGTACGCATACTAGAAATATAAAGGTGGCAATAACTCTAAGTGATAAACTTTTTTTTTTTAGTTCCTGTTCATCCTTCGGTGGTGATCTTTAATGAAAGGGTTTCTCAGGCCAAGGAAGCCCTCAGGAACTCAATCAGTAAGATCAAAATTATCAAGGTTTGAAATGCCTTGTCTAATCCTATCATATGAACGAACAATGCCAAACTACGCTGGACACAGTACCCTGGAAGCATATGGTGAAGATTGAGGACCTGAGGGGTAAGGTTCTTACCGGAAATAACGTTATCGTTGAAAACTGGCCGTTGGACAACTGTGACAATAAGAGTTTCATGAAGCGAGCTAATTTTGTGAAGGTTGAGGCAAACTTGTCTCAACTTAAGTTTAAATTGCCTCGTCATTACGACAGGGAACTTGATATGGACATTGACAGTTCCTAAATAAAATGTCTAAAGTTTATAAAACTTATTTTGGAAAGCATTATCCGTGATGGTCATTTATCCGATCGTAATATCAGCACTTTTTTTTAAAAACATGATATGCAAAATAAGGTGCACCACTGTGTTCTTTACTTGGCACTGACATCTAAATACAGTATAGCATATCGGTATTGATTTCGTTTCCATCATTTATATTCAATATATATACTATGTCGACCCGGAGCTGCTAGTCATACTAGCAATATCTATGCAAAACCAACTAGTGTTCAAGTTATAACCATTATATAAAACCCAAGTGAGAATCGAAAAGTCTTAAAAATTAAGTGGTGGTTGACTAAGAATCGAAAAGTCTTAAAAATTAAGTTGTGGTTGACTAAGAATCGAAAAATCTTATAAATTAAGTGAGTGCCTTTGGCTGGAACATAATTACAGATTCATTTCTTTTTTTTTAAAAAAATGTTTGTATGATTTACAAGGTATATTTAATAACTGTACAAGGTTTATAGAGTAGCTGTACAAGGTTTATAGAGCATGTCATGAACCACGTACTTTGCACTTTGCCCCTGACCACGAATCCCCGACTATTGGAATGTTCTGGAATCTCATACTGAGATTCAACAACGCCAGTGTCCAGAACCTTCCAGGACCTTCCAAGACTATCCACGCAACGAACCTCCGCTTGCAAGAGATTAGTAATCATGACTCATGGGTTTCGGCCACGTAAGCTAAAACCAACACTAAGACTAATTAAGTAAGCCAAGACATTCTTAAATGCAAACCCATGTTATCTGAAAAGATATAAATACTCCCCCTTTCCATGTCGATTATCTTGTATCCTTCCCCTTCCCTGTATAATCTATTATTATTATTAAATACTTTGTAAACCACTCTTCCCTTGTCTTGTATAACTAGTATGTATCTTCTGATCTTATTGCTATAATATATTCCTAGCCACGTTCCTGACAGAGCAGCTGTACAAGGTTTATAGAGTGGGTCTACTTATTTCATTTCACCACTTGTAAAACAAAACAAAATTGAGCAGCATTGACAAGGTTTACGTAATAACTGACAAAAGTAGGTAGCGAAACAAAAAAAAGGCACTATAAGTAACAAACGTTGAGATAAACCAGCCCATTAACACTATTTTTATCTGACCTTGGCTTTACTTCATTTATAAAAAATGCCTAGCATTGCCATCAGTAACTCCATGATCAGTACAAAATATTCTTCATCATAACGACCAAGCAGTATCTTAAATGTGCCTTTTCAAATACAGAGCGCCTCTTCATATAACGCGCCCTTATGATGGTAAACAGCTAATTCATTTGACTGTCGTGCTTATAGATATTGAAAGAAAAGCCATGAACACCTTAATGGCCTCAAATACAGTAAGAATGTCGTAAAGCCTATCAAAGCAATAACGACTCAGTAATCGACAACCATTTACATTTTGTTTAAGAAACTAGGCGGGTTGTGAGATTCGTCAAGTAGTAGAGTGTCATAAAGATTATTATAAAATGTCTGAGAAGGGTATTTAGCAAAAGGTGAAGGTACATACAAAAAAAAAAAAAAAGGTGAAGGTAAACAGCTTGGGGGAAAGAATTGCGTCACTTTTTAGAGAAAGTAGTTGATTGTCATGACGTACATTAATTTGATTGGTGAATAAAGGTGTCATCGACAGAAAAAAAATTTTTTTTCTACTTCAGCTTTTTATTACAAGATCTGGGCAGTTTCTGAGAAAGACCCCACTTTTTTTTATTTGCAAAATCTCTCTGCTAACGGCTTCCTTGCGAAATAACTCACGTTTACTCCACATTGTATTTGTCAATGCTGTGAGTGAGGTATATTAAACTGAACATATGGCATGCCTACATTATTTTGTTCAAAACTAAACTTTCTAGAACCTTTATACAAGACATGATTGCCCATCCAAGATTTTGAAATTAACGTAATTACATGGAAGATTTATGGCAAAATTTTTCGTAACAAATTGCGCTGAATATGTCAAGGTTTGTAGTGTCTGATAGTGTATGCACAGTTGCTGAGAGCACCTCGTCAGGCTGGTTTATCTATATTCCTCGATCCAGCCTTAAATTAATTTTTTTCGAGCTTAATAAAACTGTACTGTCTGTAAGACCTTTAAATTATGCTTCGTTCACTCAATTAGTGATGTAGCTCTCAGGGCCGCACAATCCCTTTCATGTTTGAATTACCAATTTCTCAACCACTGTTGGACAGATAAAATTCGCGACAAGAGAGATGTCATTATAATCAACATACTGTTTATGTTTGGCCAAATCAGGACAGTTTCCCGTTATATGACCATATGTAGGCACACACACACACAGATGTAGTGGGTACAAGCATCGTGTTTCATAGATTAAAGATACCAGTTGTTTCCTCGGTACGTCACTGCACAGTCCATATAAATAGCGGTTGAACTGTTCTTTAAGTTTATTTCATATAACAACATGACCTTCTATACTATAAATATCGGAAGTATGGTATGAAAATTCCTTTGCTATTTTCTTATGCTGTGTCATTTTAAAAATATTTAACATCCTGGGTTGCTACTGATATACTTACATATTCGAAATGTATCCTCAAATAATAACCCATTGATGACTCGCGAGTTATCTTATAAATTCAAAGTTACCGCAAAATTACATAGATTTCATGTGCATAGTTTAAATCTTGTTCGTTAATTACACTTTATACTGTCGCTTATAAACATTAAAAAGTGTTGCAACCGAATAATATGGGATCCATTATGTTGAATATTTATATCCAAAGCCATATAAACAGAAGTTAACGTAAAAATAATATTTCAAGAAAATAAAATGTTAAGTATAAAAAATTGGTTTATCAAGTCCAAATGATGATCTACTAATAATTAAAACGGTATCAATAACTTAAGTAGATGTAGAACGAGTTTTTCTATTTAATAAATCCAATTGATAACATAAATATTAGCTTTGTGTGTTAAGTTAATAGGAAACATGCGATTCTAAGAACTTTAAGCATCGTATACACCTTAATTACGATAAAGACAACATGCTGGCAATTTTTTTCAAGTTAAAGATTTTAATTGTGCAATTATATTATGCTAATTGTTATGGATTATGCATGGTCTTTTAAATTTATGTCCTAGTACATACAAAAGAAAAAGTATCATGTTCTTGAAGAGATTTTAATGCAATTCGTATTAAACTTTTAATTAATTTATCTCTTACCAAAAGTTTTATATTTAGGATATGGCTTTCATTTAATATATTGTCAGTTTTAAAGTGTAGCTATTGTTTTGAATGGCATTGATTTATTAATATCATTGCAAATCAAATATTAATAATGCAAAAAACTTGAACCTTCTCACACCAACCAAAAACCAACAAGGCGCATATAGAGTTTATATGTCCAAGAGAAGATTAACCTTAAAGTGTTTAGATTATTTTTGTGAAAAAAAGGTAACTTACCGTACGATGGAAGACATTCGTGGACGAATGAAGAAATACATGGTCGATTATAGTAAAGCAGTTTTATTTTTTTGCAAACCGGAAACGGCGCAAAGGGCGAAACTAAGGATACCGGTTCAAAAGAATTCGAAAGTAAGTTGTAAAGAGTCAAAATGGGTACAGATTAAGTTATTAATATCTCACTTACATTAGACATGGTGTTGCAGCCAATCTAAATTGACTTGGTGTTACACAGGATAGGATCTTTTCTATAAATACGTCCCTTTTTTTTCTAATAAATATTACTTCAGTTTTATCTTAACTAAAAATCTAGTTTCTTAATAATTTGTAATTGACTCCTTTGTGTTTCCCTCAACTTTCATACTTCTTGTTTATCTTAAGTCTATACTTTTCATATAACAATTAACTCAAAGTTCATATTTCACACTCGACTTGAATCTCTTTATTATTAAAACGGTATACAAAATGTTGTTTATAATAACATAATTACTTTTCTTTTTAATCTTGGCAATCAGTTTATATTTATATTAATTACGCCCTCTTAAAATCATCGTTGATTATCTTCTTATCCTAAAAACTCTATATTACAATATTTCTTAAGTTGACTACTTCCAGTCTGGTGCTCACTTTCATAACTACTTTATTATTAACTCCAGTGTTAATAAACTATATTCACCTTATCCTTTAAGAACTATTACCATTGTCTTAACAACAGTTACTAATTGTCAAATCTTTTTCTGACTTTTGCTGCATTGAAACCCTTGTCATCTTGATCGCATAATCATATTATTAAATCTAAATTAAGAGATTTCTGAATAAACAAGTGCCGACCCGTTGACATTTTTTCGTGATACCTTATGGTGTTTAAACATTTTTTAATGCCGCAGGCGAAACAGATAGAGTATATATTCGCGTATAAAAAAAAGTACTAATAATTTTAAAACCACTTCGTGTTTAAAGTTGAGCTTGGACAATTGCTTTACAGTGACTCCTGTTAAATCGCTCTACAATAAATAGTTTTTACTTAGAAGGTGTGTTTAAATATTTTGCCCGCAGAAAAATTGTTGAACTTAAAAAAATGAAAATACACGAATTATTTCGTCTTGCAGTTTTCAAGACAAACTACTATTAGCACAAGTGGCTCTCCAATAGTTTCAGAATGCCGATAGTTAAATCTACTGGTTCTATTATCGGGGTTAATTCATGTGGCTATTAAACTCATATTTTGGATTTTCTGAAAAAAAAAAAAAAAGACAGCATGGTACCTTTTCAAGAAATTTAGCAGAGATTGATCATGGTATAGAGGTTTCAGTACGCATTTCCACACCAAGCTCCTTCATGTTTGGAAATATGATATGGATTTCCAGATGGCATTGGCCATCCATCGTAAAACGTAACGTGTGATGGTAGTCCTTAACAGGCATCTTGAAGTTGTGGTGCTCATACGTGCCGTAATCCAAACGAGTGATACGAGTACTAAAGGGAGGGCTCAGGTAAAAGCGCACACAGTTATCCGGGAGCAAGGGAATGTCACGCAAGCCGTGAGTGATGAAGGCATCGACATTTACATCACAGATTTCCAGTTCTTCAACAAAATCGGTGCTGTTCACGATCAAGACCTCATCTTGGTCAACAATTCTATTGTTACAACCAGCAAACAATCTGGCATATCAGCCCTTGTAATCAACAGCACCATGGACATGAGCAAGGAAATCGGCAAATGAGGCAACATCTTATAATAAACACGTGTTAATAAAAGAAAAGAGAAATATATAAATGTCTTTACTTACTATCATGTTGGGACGATTTCTCCAGAATTGATACGACGTTGGCAAAGTCAACAACCTGACTATCGTCGTTTAATTCGCGATCATCTTCACTATCATCGAATTCTCTCTCAGTGAATTTACCAGCAACGACGGAGGAAGCAACAGAGTCGGAGTCACTGTCGATGTTACTAGCAGCATCGTCATAGTTGGATTCAGTATCTGAATCAGAGTTCAAACCAACCTGGGCAGGAGTGACGTCGGAAGTCAAAGAGGCAGGACGAGTAGAGGAACGGATATCCTGAGAACGGGCACGACGTACAGCTTATATATGTACTGTATGTATAAGTAACAACTAAAAAATAAAAGATAAAAAATAGACTTACCATTAGCAGAAGAAGAAGTTTGAGAACGAGGGTGAGCAGTAGCAAAAAGTTCGTTAGAGAGATTCATGTTCAAAAAATAAATTTATGTTTATGAAAAAAAGAAAAAGAAACAAAGACGAGAGAAAAGGAAAAGAACCCCCTTTCATACTTTTTCTTTCAAACATTTTTTGTGTCAATTTTTAGATATGGCGTGATAAAATGTTTTTACCGTAAAAAAGGTCACAAAGAAAAAAAAAATTTGGGGCGCAGCAGTTAAAAAAAAAGTACAAATAGGGGGCCTTTTTTATCTTTCTTTCACTTTTAATACTTTTTATAAACTTTTCTCTCCGTCTCTTGTTATCTTGTTATCTTGGTCACTTGGTCACTTGGTCACTTGGTCTCTTGGTCTCTTGGTCTCTTGGTCTCTTGGTCCCATGGTCTTTCTGTTTCAATGTCGTCTTCCCTTGTTCTCATAGCGACAACCAATTTGATTTGGATGCGTATACCATTTTTTGATTTAGATGTACAAAAATGAGAGCTATCGAAAATACTACTCTTGAGCTCTAGACATCAGTAGCCATTGTAAAAAGTACGTTTAAATACCAGCATCTACACAAACCTCATTTTCCTGACTGGGTTCGATTTTTATAAGAAACAAGTTTAGGATGCTCACATCGATCAAAATATATTGATATCTTAAATAGGAGATGTACTAATGTACAAAAGAGCCTTTTTTTTTAAATATTTTTTTGGAAGGTCAATCTTTTTCCAAAACCTGATTTTTAAAAAAATATAAAAAATAAAAATAAATATTATCCTGGAACTAGTGCAATTCGATTTTGCTAAAATATCGGCAAGATTTTTTTTTTCTTTTGTTCCTGTTTTACCTTTTGTTTTTTCGTCTTCTCTGTTTCAATTTAATTTCTCAATAAATTCTCAAACTCACCAACAAATGTTTCTCGTTTTTAAAATGTTAAGCCAACAACAAGATGTTCTTTATGCATTTAGAGAAAGCATTGCTGCCGAGAACCAAAAATTGTAGACCTCTACACCTTACTGTCAGTAATGTGCATTTGCCTAGAGAACAGCAATTACAGTACGACTTTTTTGCTGCCGATTTTGACAAGTCAATTTGGAATGGCTATTACTTCCATGCCTTCGTCGTTTACTGGAGAAATTATTACCAGAACGCGAAATGTCGGTGTAGATGCCACAAGAATGTCCGAAAGATACACTTTTTGAGAGGTACAACGTCTTAACCTCAACGACGACGACCAAAAGCAAGTAGATAGCTTCCGTGCCACATATCGAATGGGAAGGAAGTCTTCCAATTGGTTTATCAACAGGTTGCGTACTCATCCCGAATTTAATTTCAAGACACCAAACCACGTTCCTATCTACATCCAGTTAGCTACCTTTCTTTTGAGACTGGCCAATTGTCATCTTAGATATAGAAGCATGTATGTCCTGTATGGTGTTTCGTATGACAGCTATGCCAATTTCACGAAGCGTACGGTGAAGGCCATCAAGGATGTGCTTGGCTATATGGTTGATTGGCCTTCGAATTCGGCCATGGTGGATGCTATATCTGCTGGATTCAACAAAGGTCTTGGTGTGAGTATTCCTGATGCAATTGGTGCTATTGATGGCAAACACTTTACGATTCATAAGCCAACTGCAGCCGCTTATGAAGCAGGGTTCCGGGAGAGAAAAAACAAATACACCATTAAACTTACCGCTGTTAGTGACGATACATGTAGATTTACTTACATTCGTGTAGGAGACTCTGGTAATAATGACCAATATAAATATGAGAGTTCGAAGCTAATTTACTTTTAATACACTAGGCAGAAGTCGTGAAGCCTCAGCCTATAATTCCAGTGATCTCAGCTGGAAGATTATGAACAATCCTGGCATTACTTCCCTAATGGATATTATCTTTTCGGTGATTCCGCCTATCCGTCCAGAGCCAATTTGATTACACCATTCCCTGAAAGTGAATGTCTCCGGGATCCTCGCAAGAGGTTATTCAACTATTCGCATTCTGCTAGAAGAATGGCCATTGAAAGAACTTTGGGTCAGTTCGTTAATCGGTGGAGATTTAAATAATTCCATATTTAGGTGTATGATCTTTTGGATATCAATGATATCATCAGGTCGTGTGCGATTCTACACAGTGCATGTAAGGCAAGACGGGAGCTAGGTTTGGATGCAGTTTTTCTTGAGCCTGCTAGTCTTGTAGTTAGAGAGCAGGGTGAAATAAGTTTTATAGGTAACATTGCTCGCTTGCGCATCTTTAATGCAGCTTTTCCTTAAATATGTTATGTATTAAATTATTTAAAAAAAAACAAATTTTTTATTGAAAACAAAAGCCAATTATATTTTAGTCGATGTTATGAAGTTTATATTCATCGGACGAAGGACAAGTGACATCAAGCAAGTCTGACGGAACAGGATAAAACGTCGTAACATTGACATCGATCGTCATGTCATTCGCAGACGGGATGGAGGCAGTGTTGTTGAGAAGGGTGCTTTTGGAAAAGGTGCTGCTGACGACGATGTTGCTGGTGTTGGTCTTGTTGGCGTCAGTGCTGTTGTAGCCGCTGGTGCTGCTGGCAGAAAGACTGTTGAGCTGATAGTCATAGACTTCAGGAATACCATTGACATCAGGGCGGAAATAGTGGCGGGTGTTGTTGGTTTAATGTTTGCCACCATTTTCAAACGCATTGTAGCTGGTGCTACGGCTGCTGCTGCTACCGTTGTTGTTTTTGGGACAGTCGGTGTTGTGATATGTGCTACGTCTGCTGCTGATACCATTGTTGTTGTTGGCATTGTCGACGTTGTTGTAGGCGCCATTTTTGTTGTTTTGGCACCGTTTTAGTTGTTGCTGTTGTTGCTTGAGCCGAAATCCCCTTTCATTACCATCAGCATCTGGCGCTGGATATCCAGACTGGCCTGCGTCTGATCAGCGTTGCGAGACTGCACCTGGTCTTGTGTCGCCAAGGACTCCAACGTCTCACCAAAAAACATTTTCGAACGATCAAGGTAATTATTGAACGTTCTACGCTCAGGATCTCCAAGCTTAAAACAACGTGCCTCAATCTCATTCATTGAGGTAACCAGATACTCGATCGTTCGGTTGACGGCTCTACTTCGACTGACAGCCCCACGAGCCACACCCTTCTCAGCACCGTCGTTGTTGACGGCTCTTACTCGTCTAGCACCGCAACTTCACCACGATTATCTATCGTCTCTCCAGCAAGAAAGGCATACACAGTAGTTGGCGTCACGGTGGGCATCTCACTGGTGGGGTTCTCCATCGCATCATGTTAAACCCAGTTTTCAATCGGTGCCGTACCTGTGCTAAATCACACATATAGATTGTACTTATAATAAATTCATATCTCATCATCACTGATAATTGATAGCTAAATCATGATCAGGCATAAAAAAGGATTTCGCTAAAGCCGGTCACTATTTTTAAAGTGTCACGGTATCGTAACACCAATGTTCAAACTTAAGACATGTTATTGTTATTATTTCTCTATTGACTATGCGTAGCACTAATTGTCCAATGTAGATATTGTTATTGATAGCATACTCATATTGTTAAAAGTAGTATCCTCAGCCTCGTCCATTCCATTTATTATAAATACTCTTTATTTTTCCTCTTCTTAAATCTTTAGTTAACTTTAACATCAATAAACTCTGACAAGAATTCTAATTGATCCTATAGTTTTTTCTACCTTTTTTTCTGCAAAACTATCCTCTTTAAGCCTACTTTTGCTACAGTACCAGTTGGATTTAAAATATCATTGCGATGTCTGAAGGCAGCACAGAGAGCATACCACTTAGACTTCAATGGACTTAAAGGTCAGCTTCCATTGGTGCTGTTTTTGGTTTTGAATGAGTGCAACCTGCACGATACAACTCATTTCGTTCAGCTAACGTACGATTGGACTCCAACCGCTTGTTTTAATCAGCATACAATTCAATAAGAGCAAAGGTGCTAGCTGAATTCCATCTTGAGCGCGTGTATCTGGTATCGGAAACTTAATAGTGGCAGCAGCAGGGGAAACGGCAGCAGCAACAGGAACGACGACAGGAACCTCCTGTTCTTCTGAAACAGTAATAGCATGCGACGGTTGCTACCATAGGCTACACGATTCGGTGTCACTTCAATAAATTGGTGATTGATAGGGCTGTTGTTGTTGTTTTGATTGTTCATTTTAAAAAAATTAAGATAAGGAAACAGTTATAAAATTAATTCTGTATTTTGGAATTTTAGTAGTCCATTTTAGGACCGTTTATTTCGGGAGGCTTCACATTCAATGCCAACAGATTTCTCATTTTTAAGCAGTAGATTAATAATAAAAAAATATGGCAACATTATTTTTGACAGAATTCAATTTGGGAAAACAATATTGATAAAAACACATGTTTTTTTTAAAAAAAAAAAAAAAAAAAAAAAAAAACGGAGCATGTCCATATTAGTACGTCTCCTATTTAAGATCTCAATAGATTTTGTTTCATGTCAGCAGCCTAAATCCTACAAATCTGAGAATTCTGGTCCGTTATCCGTCAAGATCCAATAGTTTTGCGTACTCTGTGTGATAATTGAGAAATAAAAAGGGAAAAGTAATTGAGAAAATAAAGCAAGTAAAGAAATGAGACTCTATAATCCTTTATTATAAGTTGGCCAGTTTGTGATGATAAAAATAGAGGTCCTTTTTATATTCAATTATTACTTCAAGATTTTTCCTGCGCAGATCGAATTGACTATTTACCCGCAAACTGGGAAATGGTAGAATTAGATTTAGAAATCAGTTACATATGAAACATAGCTTATTGTTATATACAAGGAGCTAGTTGACCCATATCCGGCACTTCTAGAGCATTATAGTTTATCCATTCAATGACAGGGTCCTTGATTGGATTACTAAAATAAATTTATGAGAAACTAGAAGATTCGGCAGCTACTCGACCAATCCAGGAACGATTATGAAATCTGATCTCAGTTTGACATATGAGGGAGCTGGTACTGTGTCGTACCAATAGGAATGTATTCGCAATATGGTACTTATAATACATAGGTTATATGTATTATAATTGAGTGACAAGATAAGAGTAATTATATTCGTGGAATTAGGCGTCAAATACGACACTCTGGTCCGTTATCCCTCAAAATCCGTTGAGTTCAGGGTACTCCGGTCCGTTATCCCTGAAAATCCGTTGACTTCAGGGTACTCTGGTCGGTTATCCGTTGTTATGCGATAATTCAGAGAATTCTGGTCCGTTATTCCTACAGATCCGATACTTAAGGGTTCCCTGATTACATTAAACTAATGACCAAAATAGATTATAAGAAATTGGAAACGATTCCGAAATGGTTCAAGTAATCTAAACTTCCATGCGAATTATCTGAGCTAATTTCACATATAAGGTAAGTCGCAAATCATATCCGAACATCCTTAAACGTGCGTTGAATTTCAAAAACGTATATACAGCGCCCTCGAAAGTATCGTAACCGTTACGGTTTTCGTATTTCGTAAAATGACATCACATATTGATTCATAGGGAGACTTTCCAAACATTTTTATTTTTCTGTTTTTTGTTATTATTAAGTTATGGATCCGGTAAACAGCGCTTCATAGGAAATACATAAGTTATTATCACTCTTATAAGATGTTAAACCCTTTTTTCTATAACCTTTACTGAAACATTTTAATTCCAAACATGTAACCCATTTTTGAGTCTACCACATTTTTGTTTAGTCGAATGCTGCTCTAATGGTATCATTGCTTTGGAGACTGGTTCTAGTATTGGTGTATTTAACAGAGCTATAAACAAAACTAATCATGATAACTCGTTCAATTAGCGGGCCTGTGAGGAGTGGATCGAGCCAAGAGTAGAACAAAATAATTATTATGGGGAGGACAAAAGAAACAGACATTATATATCTATAAGTGTTAATACATATAAAATGGATTAGAGTAGAAAACGTTTAATTGAAAGAAAAAAATAGATAAGATCTTGAATACAGAAATATGAACAAATAAACATGATTACAGTTACAGAGGAGTGTGTGGTGACCTAGCACGAATATAGCCATATTAGAGCTAATAAAGGTTTATCCATGCTGATAACATTTGTGATACAAGCTTTACAATAAATGTCACAGTATGAACTTTAACGATGTTACATCACAAGTCTTACTTAGTACTTCTGAGAAACGTTTAAAATTTAGTTTAAAGCAAAGAGAGTTAAGAAGACTTGACATATATTGGAACAAGACTAAATTAGTGACTATGTAATAATCGTATACATTTTTGGTTAATCTATGATAACTTCAAAATAGCACTAGAGATATGAACACAGAAGACAGTCTTTTATATAAATACTGGTACATTTCATTTATTATTAAAAGACAATCTTTTAAACAGTCTCAAACTACTCCGATAGTCTTTTTATAATTTTACTTTACCTTAAAACATAACGTTTAGTAAGCAGTACGATACATATTTGAAGCTGTGTATTCCAAGTATATATTCATATATTCGAAAGGGTAATCAGGAATTGACAAAGTAGTCGTAACACAATACAAACCCAAAAAGCCGTCAATCGTACATTTCTGGAACATGGAAAGAAGTGAAATATACTTGAAATACGGATCCAGCAAAGGGAAAATTAATTGATGACGTATTCAAGATAATTCCTCACTATAAAACCAAGAATATAACAATATCAACAAATATTATTTTCCTGACACACTTTTAAGTATCCTGCATTCTACAGATAGCTAAAAAAACTATCTCTTACACTGCTATCAAAATTAATAGAAAAAAAAAATTAATTTTATCCGAAGCCGAAAGCTATTAGAAAAAATGCATTACAAGGAAAGGAAAAAAAAATATTTTTCAAAAGTCGAAAACAGTTTCTAAAAATGTGGAAATATTTTTAATAGCTTAAGACTCGTCTTTGCTGAGTATTTAAGTTGTTAAAAAAAGTATATCCTATAAAGCCGATCCGATACAAGACAATCAGATATATGAACGCAAAAGATAATGGTGTCAAAAGGCAAAACGGCAGACAACAACGGTAGCAGGCCCTGTTATAATAGTTTTAGAATCATATCAATTAGCCATCAACGAAATAATATTGACAGAGATCTATAATCGAACAGATAACCATAGTTGCTTGCCAAAAAATGCCCAAGTTGAAGATTAAGTCTTATTTATAGCATACGTTTGTAGAAGTAGTATTTGTAAAAGTTTTAGCGGTAACTAGATCATTTCGAAAAATGATATTTATGGACTAGCAATTTTAATAACAGTCAGCTTTTAAAATAGTATAAATAGTCCCCATTATTTCGTAGTTAAAACTTCAGTCAAATAAAGTAACAATGACTTATAATCGAACCTATAGTACCATTGTTTTTTTCTTTATACTTTATATTTCTTTTCTCAAATCAGAAGTAATTGATTTGTAATAGTGCTCTTCACCAAATTAGCAACCTTGTGTAAATGACTGGCAGACACCATCAGTCTTCGCTTCAACTTGTTATGAGCACCGTCAAATCTGGATGTATTGATGGTGCCAAGGTAAAGGTGCTTATTGATCCAAGGGTTGGCAAAATGTTCTTTCAACGGCACCCATGTTGACTCACGATACGCAAACAGTACGACGTATCTTGCGTTCAACCCGCAATTATCTCTCAGGACACTCCCGTTTCGCTACCGTCCTTCTTCATTGAAACTGTTCATACAGCGATTCCATCTGACCATAAACTTATTCCAGTCATCATCTGTTAAAAAACATTTTTTGCATATTGCCAACACGTTCTTGTTGATATGCCAACGGCAGATAAGAATTGTGCCGGATTCATAAATTGTCTCTATAGCACCTTTTAATGCCAAATCACGGTCAATAGCAATAATACTACGATCGAACTCCTCTAAATAGCACCAAAACAACTTCATACGTAATGTTGAAATCGCCCACTCATAATTGGCTCGGGTTTCGTGTTTTTAAAAAACACCGCACACAAAAAATGTCTTATTGAAGCAATCCATGCCAACAACGTGCAACAATAGCATACCAAATTTGTTGGTTTTTTAAGTGCAATCCATCAAAAGCACTTGAGGAAAACACCCAAATATTTCCAAGGAATGAGAGTGCGCAAAAAAAAGGTTTTTGATGGTACCTCCTCATTCGAGTTGTACGCGTAAATAAATCCAGAGTCGGCTTCAGAGAACTGATTCAAGAGAGCTTTCAAAGGAGAGCGACAATCTAAATACTCTTCACGAATCTTCTGTCCGGCGTTGTAAAACGTAATAGGGCTGAAGTAATTACCAGGGAAGTTTTAGCGAACGTAAATCAAAATATCTTGAGGTGAGCTATTAGCAATCGTGATATCCTTGATTACCTTCGTGGGATTCTCTCCAATCTAGCATGCAGTGGAATGACCAGCGAGAGAATTAGCAGACTGGTGATTATGTCCACTGTGGTTTAAGTGCAGGGTGAATTTTGCAGTACAAACGCGCTGTTATTTTCTCCCACTGGAACCGACCACCCACTTGAAAGGGCAATCGTTACGTCCTGTCTTAGAAAGTATTTTACCGGTGGAGTTACTGCTGTTTTTTCCATTGCGATCGCACTTGAATTCCCAAAACTTAAGGCGACGATCGGGATACAGTGCATCTATTTTACAATAAACAATTTTCGTTAAAACGGACATTTTCAGAACTTAAAAGTCCGATTTCTAAACTGCTGATTTTCATATTTTTTGAAAGAGAAATCTAATTTATCGCGGGAAAATGTTTAACCGGGATATATCCTATGGATTTTTATGAATTTTTGCACTGTAAAACACCTCCCAGACATCTTTGGGTCTCCCCACTGTAAATGGCCAATTTTGTTTTGCCATCTGTAAAACATTTTGTGTGAAAAAAAAATCCGGCTCTATTAGTTTGTGGAGAACTCTCTAATAAAGAATGTAATAGAGCCGGATTTGGATACCTGTTGAATTCATCGAGGAGATAGAGTTTTTATTTTTTTTGAAAAATCGGAGCCAAAAATTGTTCATTGTAAAATAGATGCACTGTAGTAACGAGAACCGCCCAAAGAATCAAGGTAGCCGTTGTCCTTGCAATGATCGATCACATACTTTTTGAGAGTTTTGTTATAGCTAAACTCAAGTTGAGAAGGGGCAGAAGTAGACGAAACGTC